CATCTGTTTTGTTTCTCAAATTACACATATGAGTGAAATCATGTGTTATTTATCTTTCTCTGACTTCTTTTGCTTAGCATAATACATTCTTACTCCATCCAAGTCATTGCAAATGGCAAGATTTCACTCTTTGTGATGGCTGAGTAATATTCTGGTGTGTGTGTGTGTGTGTGTGTGTTTGGTCAACAGACACTTGGGCTCTTTCCATAATTTGGCTATTGTTGATATTGCTGCTATTCTAAGCATCAGAGTGCATGTGTCCCTTTGAATCAGTATTTTTGTGTCCTTTGGGTGAATACCAAATAGGTCATAGGGTAGTTCTATTTTTAACTTTCTGAGGAAACTCCATATTGTTTTCCACAGTGGCTGCATCAGTTTGTATTACCACCAACAGTGTAAGAGGATTCTAATATTTCCACATCCTTGCCAACATCTGTTGTTTCCTGTATTCCTGTATGTATTGTTAACGTTCTGACAGGTGTGATGTGATATCTCACTGTGGTTTTGATTTTCATTTCCTTGATGATAAGTGATATTGAGCACCTTTTCATGTGTTAGCCATCTGGCTGTCTTCTTTGGAAAATGTCTATTAATGTCTTCTGCCCGTTTCTTAACTGGGTTGTTTGTTTTTTGGGTGTTGAGTTTGATAAGTTCTTTATACATTTTGGATACTAACCCTTTATCAGATAATGTCATTTGCAAATATCTTCTCCCATTCTGTAGATTGTCTTTTAGTTTTGTTGATTATTTCTTTTACTGTGCAGAAGCTTTTTATTTTCGGATGGTCCCAATAATTCATTTTTGCTTTTGTTTCCCTTGCCTTCAAAGACGTGTCTAGTAAGGAGTTGCTACAGTCAAAGTCAAAGAGGTTGCTGCCTCTGTTCTCCTGTAGGATTTTGATGGTTTCCTGTCTCACTTTTAGGTCTTTAGCTTTATCTTTAATCTTGTACATTTTAATTATTATGTCTCATGGTGTGGATGTCCTTAGATTAATCTTGTTTGGACCTCTGCTTCCTGAGCCTGGATGTCTGTTTCCTTCCCCATGTTATTGAAGTTTTCAGCTTTTTTTTTTTTTTTTTAAATAAGTTTTGGGCCCCTTTCTCTCCCTTATCCTTCTGAGATGCATATAATGAGGATGTTTGTTTGGTTGATGTTGTCCAAGGTAGTCCTTAACCTATCCTCATTTTTTATAGTTTTTTTTCTTTTTTGCTGTTCAGGTTGGGTGCTTTCCATTACCTTGTCTTTCAGATTACTTATGCACCTTCTAATCTACTGTTGATTCCCTCTATTGGATTTTCCACTTCAGTTATGGTATTCTTCAACTCTAATAATTTTTTTTGTATATTTAATCTCATATTAAACTTCTCACTGAATTCATCTACTCTTCTCTCATTGAGCATCTTTATTACCATTACTTTTGAACTCTGTCAGGTAGGTTGCTTATCTTTGTTTCATTTAGTTCTTTTTCTGAGGTTTTGTCTTCTTTCATTTGGAACATACTCTTCTGTCTCCTCTTAACTTGACTTTTTTGTTTCTGTGAGTTAGGTGCAATAGTTATTTCTTCTTGAAGGAATGATCTTGCGTATTGTCATCCCCTGGTAGACTGCACCTGGTGACTTCGGTTGGCTCGCTGGACCTATGGCTGTTGTGTATTATAGGTCCTAGTGCATTCTGTACTGGGAACTCTCTGGTTGTATGGCTGAAACTGAAATGGGTGTGGGCCAGTGTGGTCCTAGGGCTCTCCACACAAGAATGCCCTGTCAGGACAGCTGAAGTGGGTAAGCTGTGTTGGGGGTTGGAATCCTGGGACTCTACACAGAGTCTACCCTGGCAGGATGGCTGAAGTTAAAGTGGGTACAAGCTGGGATGTCCTAGGACTCTCCACACAGAGAACACCCAAGCAAGATAGTTAAGCCTGAAGTGGGTGCTGGGTGGGGTGGGAGGTGGGGGCGTCCTGGGGCTCTCCATACATAGTGTGCCCTGGCAGGATGGCTAAAGCTAAAGTTGGTGCAAGCTGGGGTGTCCCAGAGTGATTTCATGCAGGGGAAACGCTGGTGGGGAGGCTGGAACTGAGCCAGAAATGTGAGCCAGAGGTTCCCAGTGTGCTTCATGCAGAGGAAGCCCTGGTGGAGAAGCTGGAGCCAAAGTGGGCATAGACAAAGTGGGTTTCTGGAGTGCTCCATTCAAGTGGTGCCTAGTAAATTGTCTGGAGTCAACATTATGTGGATCCGGAATGTTCTAGAGTGCCTTGTCCATGTGTTAGTTTGGCAAAAGCTTGATCTGTAGTGAGCGCTGAGCAGGAGTGTTCCAGTGTCCACTGCACTGGGGCTGTCTTGGCGCAATGGCTGGGGCTGGTGGGAGCTAGGGGCCCAGGGATATTGAGGTGTCAGGCTACCTAAGGTGCCTGGATCATGGCTGTTGTTCATGCTATCAAGGTGGAGAGGAGAATGTAAATCATGTTGCTTACCAGCCAGAAGAAAGTTTCAGCAGCTCCCTCACCATTTGGTGAAGTTCTAGGGGCTGACCTTTTATATGGTAGTTACTCTTTTAAACTGTGGCACTTTTTTTCCATGGCACAGGCCATCAAGGTCTGGTATGGGCTAGGGGCCCAAGTCTTGCTGAGGTGGGAGGTCAGCTATGGCACCTCAACCATGCCTCCATCTTTGCTCTCATGGTGGAGGGGGAATCATAAACAGTGGTGTTCCCCAGTCCCACCAGCCTTAAGAGACTTCCAGCTCCTCTCCCTTTTGGCTGGTTCCATTATATTCTAGTTGCCCTTTTAAACCATGGATTTTTTCTACACCCCAGGACAGATGAGTCTGCTCATGGTCCATTAGTCCTGTCCCTCCCCACTGTAGTTCACAGTGTTGGTGTTAGAGATTCCCTTTTTCACTATGTCTCCCTCTCTTGTGCTTTCTCTTTTTGATCTCTATCTTTCCTTGTGCAGAAGCTGTTCAATTGGCTCTCAGTTCTTCTTCAGGAGGAATTATTAGTAGGTATAGACTTGGTGTGTATATTAGTAGGTATAGACTTGGTGTGTATATTAGTAGGTATAGACTTGGTGTGTCTATGGAGAGGGTGAGTTCAGGGACTTCCTATGTCACCATCTTGGACCATAACTCCCAAGTTCTATCTTTTAATGCTTAATCTAGCTTCTAGAAAGTCATCTGCAGAAATCTGTAAAATTTTCTGTCATGAAATGAAACCATAATATTCTTAACTCCTACTTCATGTACTCCTACTATTCTCAATACTTCAAGTCTACCACTTATTTGTTTAGGATACCTTATATTATAAGGTTTATATATGCTTTGCTTAAACTAGTAAATTTTAAGTTTCCTGGTGGTCAGTTATTTCTTTTTACCGTGCCATTTAGTATAGTACTTTGAACATAAAGCGTATCAATAAATGCAAATTTTATAATAATTTTTTACAACATGACATATAAACATATTTCAATTACTGAAAATGAACATAATCAAAATTGAAAACCTTCAGCCAAAAATTAATTATTGGAGTTAGAAATTAAAGTAAATAATTAATTAATTAATTTGAATATTATTCATTTTTACTGAAATCATTGCATAATACTAGTGTGTATCCATTGAAAAATTATAACTGGTTACACACACACACACACGTATAGATATAAAACAACAAATATACTATCTTGATTTGATTTATGGCTTGGCGATTATTAGAGAAGAAATGGATGAAAAAGATGAGGAGAATGAGTCTTTTTCCTTCCTGTGTTATTTCCTTCAGTTCTCTCTGTTCCCACGTGTTACCCAACCAGGAATCACCAACCAGCTGTTTCTTATCCCTAAGACCACTGCTCAGAGTCCCTGAGCCAAAGTTCTATCTTTGTAAGGCATCATGATCTACATATAATGTCAGCAATTCCTTTTTATATATAATACAGATACTTAAAAAAATTTTTTTTACTGTGTGAATGATTATACCAATATTTTATTATTGATTACTTCTTTAGTTGATGTAGGGTAAAAGAAAGAGAAAGCAAATTCAGAAAGCATGCCATGGAGCAGAAAAAGTATGTTATATGCTGATCCTCTGCCCTTTAAACAAATTAAACAAAGTTATTTTGACATCCTATTTGGATTATGACTGTGCCATTCTGAAGCTATCCTGAAAAATTTAAACTTAAATGTACATAAGCATTTATCTACATAATAGGTATCTGTGTCTATAAACAGTTGTGGCAATACAAGAATAAATAAAGGTACTTATTAAAATAAAAAAGAAACATATCTCAAAAATCTCAATTTTAACAAAATGAGACATAGAAGTATAGGCAAAATCACAACTGGAAAGATGTTATATGCAGAAATAGCTTTACTTCCATTTTCTACTCTTTTTGATCATTTTTGAAAATCCATGAAGTCTAAACAACATAACATTTCCCTACAAGAAAATATTTTTATGCAACTATAGTACATCATTGAAATATACCATCTGTGTTCATTGTCTAATGGGCTTTCCGTTAAACGAATTTGATGAAAATGCAATGATTTTGATAGTCTATCATAAGTGTTAAACAGCAAATCTTTTTACATGCAAAAGGGGTTGGCTTGTATTATAGACAAAATCTATAGTGACCCTAGTATGGATTTTCATAATTTTGTATTTCATTATGCATAGAAGTATGTATGTGTATGTGTCTTTAATTCTAAAGTAATCTTAAGACTTAAATAATTAAAATAACTATATGAGGCTAGATTTATTCATGGAGAATATGAAACAATTAGATATGGCAAGTTTACAAATAACTTTATTGCTTATATAGCAGTCAATTGTTAGGATTCAACAGATTGTTTACAAATTCAACAAATATGTTAGAATGCATAGAATTCTATTTATCCTATTATGAAAAACACATTAATTACCTTATTTTTTCTTTATTCTTTTAGTCATATTTTTGGAATTCTCATGGATGTATAGAATTTAAATATGATTTAACAAAATCCTTTTTCTTTCTTTAGGAAAAAGTCAAAGAGAAGGAAGAAAATCTGAATCTTGTAAACCAATTCTAAAAGTAGAATACAAGACTTGTAGAAACAGGTATGCATTTTTTATTTTGGGTGATATGGGAATATATATAAAAAACAGAGACAAGAATGAACTTTACTGATTATGTATTATTTAAAGTTTCATATAATTATGTAAGTATATTAATTGGCTAAATCCTCTTCACTGATAATAGCAACTTCTTTATTAATATGAGTATCTATGATATTATGATGAATATCTAATTATTTTAACTTTCTATGAATATTCAGATGAATATTATGTACATTAAATTTAACAATGTCAGATTTTGGGGCCATGTACATTATAAGTAGCAAACATTTGGTATTATTAAGCAGAAGCATAACTATTGGTACTGCATGTGAAAGAATTAAATACATAACCAAGTTTCTGTAGTTCATGATTTTACATTCTGAACTTGGAAAGATTATAGTTAGTTGGAAAAATAAAAAAAGTTATATCTATTAGCTTAATATAATAGTACTAAATTTTAAGATAGAGAAAATTAAATTGAATAATAATATATAATAAAATGTTTTGTATAAAGAGCAAACTTAGCCTATAAATCAAGAATTTTTTTTACTTATAATAATTATCAATGGCAATATTCTCATCCAGAATTACCGTAATTACAAATCTTGCCTAAACCTTAATTTTATTTTAACTCTAAATTCGGTAATTCTACTTTATATTACTTACATGTTCACGTGGAATGTATTCTCAGTATTATAGATGTATGACACCTGCTCTTTGAAAGATTTAATAGTATAAAATTATGGCCATTTTTAATGAGTTACCTTATATATATAAACTATAATATATGGTATATATTTTGTATATAAATACACTTTATGTATATATTTTTACAATAGAGTATATTATATATATATATATACACACACACACATATATATGTACATACACACATGATAGATCAATAACTCCTTAGTCCAGTCGAATGTTACTAAACATAAGTAGTAAAAATGACCACAGTTTTGTACTACTATAATTAAAGTATTAAAACATTTTAAATTTAATTATTACGGATGGAAATATTTTACATATATATTATATATACATATATGTGTATATTAATGTGGAAACGTTTTCTATATATACATATATTATTATTATGTACACATATTATTAGTTATTACTACTTAGTACACACTATGCAACTTGTTTGGTGTACTAAAATGAAAGAGAATACTGCTTGCTTTTGAATCTGTTATGGTCTAGTAGAAGAATTAAGGTCATAAACTAGTAGTTTCCATGTAACATGTGAGGTGCTTTTATAGAGATATGCTATGAGAGCACAACAAAAGGATACCTAACCCAGCCTAGAGAGTGGGGGGAAGAGAATGGTGAAGAGAGATCAGTAAATTTCTTCTTGGGAAAGGGGATACCTGAGATGGGTCTTAAGGGATAATAGGATTGACACACAGAGTAAGAAAAGGGTGAAGGTAAAGAGAATCAGGAATTCAAGTCTAGACAGTGTAACATAATTATTAAGATCTGTGGCATATGGGGCAAGACAGCTATGTGACCTTGACATTTTTAATTAACTCTCTTAAATTTTAATTTCCTCATCAATTATACCTATCTCATTGTGACGTTTGTGAAGAATAAGTGAAATTATGCATGAAGTGTGTAATGTCATAAGTCTAATGAGTGGTACATAGTGGGTTTCTTGATAAAAATAAGTTATCAAAAACAAAAAAGAAGTTACCATTGTCGTCATCAAAGCCATGACATTTCACGTTGTTAAAGTTATTCCACTGATACTAATTTAATGAGTTATTCTAGTAATTAGTAACCCAATTTTGTGTAGAAATAATTCTTCAGATTTCTAATGTGAAATAATTATATATTATTGATTATTATTACTGTCATCCCACTTACTGTGCACTTAAGTACATTGTGTATATTTGTTGTGATTACTACTATATTAGAAAAGTCACCTTTAAAAGCAGTGGTTCCACAGCTCAGAACACAAAGAGACTAAATAGCAGAGGAGCACCAAAACTGAGTACTAAAAGATATTCTGACAGCAAAATGGGCCATACCCCGGAAGTGACAACAAATAGATATATCTCTGCTCCATCTAGTATACAGTAGAAACTTTGTGGAGTCAAAATGGGATGGATGTGGCAGGAGCAAGAACTTTAAGAAGAGTTCTACCAAATATGCTGCAGCAATAGGGTCTCAAAGGATTGCACAGGTAGTGGATGCAAGGGGTATGTTCTGCTTAATTCATATTAGATCAACCGTTCACAAACTGGCTTTACATTTCTAGGGATTTACATTTCTAAAGAACCAATCTGCTTAGGAATCATTGGTCCCCAGTCACCTCTCTGCTTAATTAATTTATTCTATTCAAAAAAAAGAATAATGATCTCTCTACCTGCTACCGCTAACATTTTCAAGTTCTCTGTAATTAATAAAAATTATTTTTTGCTTGTCTTTTAATCCCTTTCTATCATGGCCACCTATTGGTAGACTTCATGTGTAAAGTTCTCTAAGCCTCAGTATATCCATCTGTTAAGTGAGAATGATAGTAGTTTTCTCATTGGGATATTATAAGGATTCAATACAAATAACATAAGTAAATTTCTTCACACAATACCCAGAATATCATAAATATTCAGCAAATGTTGTTTTAGTATGTACTATATTATGTTGCACGGTTTATTGCTTAATCTTGTTGCCTTCACTGAGAAAAGAATTTAATGCTTTTTCTATATTTATTTTACAAATTATACAGTAAAATACTTTTTTCTTTTGGTATACAATACTGTGAATTTTAACACATGTATTGATGCCTGAAATCACCACCACAATAAGAATACAGAACATTTCCATTCCCCCAAAATTCTCTCCTTTTGTTCCTTATACTCATACTTTTCTCTCTGCTTCTAACCCCTGACAACCATTCATCTGTTCCCTGTCACTATAGTTTTGTCTTTTTAAGATGTTATATAAATACAGTTATATATTATGTAACATTTTGATTCTATCTTCTTTCATTCAACATAATGCCTTTGGGATTTATCCAAGGTATTGTCAATAATCTGTAATTTGGGGGTGCCTGGGTGGCTCAGTCAGTTAAATGCCTGCATTCAGCTCAGGTCATGATCTCAGGGTCCTGGGATGGAGTCCTGTATTGGGCTCCCTGCTCAGCGGGGAGCCTGCTTCTCTCTCTGATATTCCCCCTGCTTTTACTCTCTGGCTCTCTCTGTCAAATAAATAAAATTTTTTAAAAAATAATTTTTAATTTGTATTAATGTTTTCTTTATGTATGAAGACATTGTTAATTATATAGGCAGTTATTTCTTTTGTAATAATTCATCTGATCAGTCTACCAGGATACACTTGTAGTAAATAGTAAAGGTCAGTTTAGTATGGTATAGTATTTATCAAATTGTGTCCCTTTGATCACTAACTGTATTCATGGAAAATTAGGAATCTATAATCAAATACATTTGAGAGAACTAAGATATTCTGGGTTATATGAAAGTAAATTGGATTCTTTACTGTATAGCTTCTTAGAATCTTTGCTATATGGCCTGAAATATAAAATTTCAAAAGGGAGATATGGTTTGTTAGTGTTTGTCAAATTTGAAATTAAAAACTATTTTTCAGGGACACCTGGGTGGCTCAGTTGGCTAAGTGTCTGCCTTCAGTTCAGGTCATGATCCCAGGGTCATGGGATCAGGCCCCACATCAGGCTCCGTACTTAGGAGCCTGCTTCTCCTTCTCCTGCTCTCCCTGCTTGTGCGCTCTCTCTCTCTCTCTGTCATATAAATAAATAAAACCTTTAAAAAAAAACAAAACTTTTTTTCAGAACGTTTTTAAAGTTATATTCCACAGTTTTAGAAACATTAGACTAGAAGTGAAAAACATGTATTTTGGAGTCTGGATTTCATTTTTTATCCTTCCATTCCATAGCTGCTTGCCTCTAAACAACTTCACCTGTATTAATCTGATTCATCTACTACAGGCAGTACAGATCACTGTTTGGGAGAATAGGCTTTGAAATCTGTCAGATATGTTTTCTTTTGGGTTTTTCTGCTTAGTTGTTATTTAACCTCATTAATAAAATGAGGGTTATACTTATGAGAATTTAATATGATAATTAAGTATCTAATGCAATTATAGATGAGTGATTTCCTGAGCATTTTCCTGAGGAATTAACTTTTTGTTCAGTCATTCAGTAGCTTACAGAGAAGTGCATATATATCGGTAATTAACTTCAGACCCAGTGTTTTCTGATGCAGTCATAATAAAAGTAGAAAAGGTTTTGCTTTCTTCCAGTATAACAAGGACATCTTTTCCATTGTGCTTACCAAAAAAAGGAAGAATAAATTGCTTCTTATCCTATATTTGGATGAGCACTGGGAGATGAGATTAACTTTACCCCCCCCCTTTTACATGGAAAAAATAGATACTTATGACCTTACTAACACTTGGAGCAGATAGTTAGTTCAATATGTATGAAAAGATAATATATTCTCTAAGTCATGACATTTGTTGTAAAACAAAGCAACACAAAAATGTGCAAGAACACTTACTAATTTCATTAGAAATGACTTTTAAATCTGGAGAAGTATTAATAATATAAGCATTTATTTTATAGGAAAAAACTTGCTGCTTAAAACCACCATTACTAGGTTGGTAATTTAGTACACCAAATTACTGAAGCAAGACTAACTCACATCAACTAATACAGGACTCAAGGAAAATAAATTTTTCGTATTTAGCTTACAACTCAAATATTTATGTTAAAATATTAAGACAGAATTATAAATAAAAATCAGTATAGACATTTTATATGATTTTAATGGAAACTTTTTTTAAAAGCTCTTTTTGTTCTTGTTATATAGCCACCCTAATAATATTAGCATATGCCCCATTGGTAATGTTGAGTACCATGTACAGTATGAAATGAAAGAGAAAAGGAATTATAGAGTGATTTTTAGAATCTTAGAATTTTTAGAATTAGAATTCATAATTAAAATCTCTTAGAATTAGACTCAGAATTAGAATTTAGAATCTTTAGAATTTTAGAAATTTTAGGTTCTTTAGTGAATAGATAAAAGTGAATTATTTAGAGAAGCATATATCCTCAAAGAATTTGGTAAAATAATTGTCTAGTTCTTTTTAAAAAAACTTTTGGAGAGTATTTTCAGTTTGATATTTACTTATTTAAAATATTCCATCAACATATTTTATTTTATATACATAAACTAGAGATATAGTATTAACTTAGGAAAAGTGAAAAATTATGACCCTATTTCATAACTTTCTGACAACTGTAGTATTTTATAGTCATCTCAGCCCTACTCAATTTATCTAATTGTATCTTGCAACTAACAGAACCTAGAAAGTTTGATGTTAGTTTTAGCAGCTAGATAGAACTGGCTGACCCAAGGAAAAATTGGGAAGAACATATTTTTTGTTCTGAGTTTTCTCCATCTTTTTATCATAACCCTTTTCCCACAGAAACTCCATTACATAGAATTTTTATATTACCTTCTACCACTCTGGGCTTGCTATTATCACATTTAATTTTATATTGAAATTTGCCTCTTTTATCCCTTAGGAATTTTGGACCCCACATGCCAAATGGTTAATATGATAAATTAACATAGTTTAATATCCTAATGGTAGTGATTCAGAGTTTGGAGAATCAACTAATACATGTAGAGATGTCTTTTTGAGTCGATGAGCACCTCTATTTCCTCCCAACTTCTCTACCTTTTCCCCAACACACCTCATCACCTTTAGACTGATTCATTAGTAATTTTAATGGTGAGAATTCACAACTAGAAAAAGGGAAATGGTAGAATAGGAAGTTATTTGGGTGAGATATTTTGGACTAAGAAAGATATTTGCTGTCAAATTGTATTGTGTATAATCCTTACCAAACTTATTCTTCATTAGTTCAGTCTTATGATATTGTATCATCTTAAAGGACTTTTCAATCTCATTAACTTTTTTTTCTATGCAGCGAACCATTCATAATATTTTCTGGTGGATTGTCTTATGACAAAGCTTGCAGAAGACCAAGTTTAACCATCATGCATGGAAAAGCTATTACAGTGCTTGAAATGGATCATCCTATTGTCGAATTTCTTACTTTATGTGAAACACCCTATCCAAATGGTAAGTAACAAATATCAAACTATTAATGTTGAAAATCATTCTTGAAGTAAGTTCCTAATAAAATTAAGCTTAAATATTTTTAGTTTTGGCAGCTGACATCCACTGTGGTACAACACTGTGAGCTACAGGTGCTGGAGCAGGTTCCGCAATTGTACCTACTTGACAAACTGGAAGTAAGACAAATGTAGTACAGCAGTGCTGGAGTTTCAGGTTCTTATATCAGGTAAGTGCTTTAGACTTTGATAAGGATGGTGGAAGCTGAGCTGGGAGGGTCCGATAGGGGTCCAGGGTGAAATCACTTGGGGAAACTGAGGTCTCCTAATAGCCTCTCCTAGACCAGCTCCACCCATCCCATTCCAACACTAATCAAAGTTAAAGCACTTACCTGATATCAGTGATCTATAACTCTGGTGGTAGTGCATCTGTTTCACATCTGGCTTTGCTTCAGATGCAACTGCAGCACCTCTGATTACTCTAGGATTGCTGATGTGTGGTTAGTGATTTATTTCTTTGAGAATAATTAGAAGAGCTTTCCAGAGGAGAGATGCATCCTAAATATAAAGACTTTTTGTAAACATAAAAACTAAACTTATGTACAAACTATATAATGAAATCTAATAATAATGAAATCTTTTAGTAATAGAATCTAAAAATTGAGAAGGCTGAAACATAAAATAAGAGTTTATGATTAAAACATGGTATGTGTGTATTAAAACAATGTAGTATGCATAGTATGTATGTGTGTGTTTGTGTGTGTGTGTGTGTGTGTATAACTACAATTTCAAGAGGGAACGTGTATAAGAGAAAGAACACTAGACTTGGAGGCACAGTATTTGGTTTTATGATTTAGCTACATCATTCACTAGCTAGGTGACCTTGGTAAGTCATTTTACTTTTATGAGTTAGATTTATCATTTTTAGAAAGAGAATAATATTAACCCCACATGATTATTGGAAGGCCAAAATGAGCATACTCTAACTATGAAGATCTATAAATTGTTTTATTACAACTGTGTTAATTGGCTTTAAATTCTTTAGTTTCATATTTAAAGCTGGGATAAATTGATATGACATAACAATGTGGCACTTTATTTCCAAAGTTGCTGGGACAGACAAGTTACCTGTGCTGTTAATTAATCAACAAATATTTATTGGGTGCTTCTATGGCCTCAGTACTACAAGGGCTTATTGAGAATACAGACGAAGTATGAAACTGACCTCTGATATCAAATCACATAAAATCTAGTTGGATGAGGGAGATAATTATGACTTAAGTTTAAAAAATATAACACTTAAGTGCTGAGTTATATGAGTCAGAGTTTATATAATGTACTAACTTATAGGTAGTAAAATAGTCAATAGCTGAAATATTCTTGCAAGACTTCATGGAAAAAGTAGGCTTTAGATAGACTTTGAAGAATGACTTGGCACTTGAAAAGGATATTGAGTAAAGGTTTAGAACTTGTAAGATTTACTAGAGTGAGATCAACTTAGAGAAAAAAGTGAAAGCCTTTTAGAGGTATTTGGAAATAGAAGGATTTTGAGAAAATATTAAGATGAAAGAAAACAATGTTTTTAGTAAAATTTGCCAAAAAGGTGTTTGAATAGACACTGAAATCTTAAATTCCAGATTCCAACTTGGAGGTTTCTGTGACAATGTTCATTAAAATGGTCACATCTGTAACACAGGGCTGCCTGTAGGAATGGAAAGAGGAAACCCACTGAACTTGGTCACCAGTTAGGTTTAGAGAGTGACATGATAGATGAGTCAAAGAAAACATATTTTAAGAATAGTGGTTTCAGGGGTACCTGGGTGGTTCAATCAGTTAAGCCTCTGCCTTCAGCTCAGGTCACGATCCAGTGGTCTGGGATTGAGCCTGCTTCTCTCTCCTTCTGCCCCTGCCTCCCCCGCCCCCATCTCACTCCTGCTTGCTCTCTCTGTCTCAAATGAATAAATAAAATTTAAAAAAGGAACAGTGGTTTCATATGTAATAATAGCAGTTTTTGGAAAGAGAAAAAGATGTCTGATTATAAGTCAATAGAGTTGCTTGGACAGCAGATAAAGAGAAAGAAAAGGTCTTTAATATTTATTTATGAATTATAAGAATATAGGAGTTCTTTGGAGTTATGAGAATGAATGATAAAGGAATAAAGAACAAACAAAAGACCAAAAGCTGAATTTAGGAAAACACCTCCTATAAAAGAGCTTGGAGAAAAATGTATGTGCCGGTAATAGAGGCTGATAGTGTTTGATCTCTGCAACTACATATTTTTATGTGTGTGTATATATAAGTTTCTACACATCAGTAGAGATGTTAGGATAATTTCTAATAATATCAAGTAAATTATAAATATATTGTAACTATGTCCAATCACTTCCAAGCCACAAAAATGTCTTTGTTTTTCAGAGTAGTGATAATGAGGATGGAATTTTTATCTATCAGGAGCTAAGAGAAATACTTTAACTTTACTCATAAAATATAAATGTAGTTCACTATTTCTGGTTAAAACAATAATACATGAAAGTGACAGAGAAGACCCTACAATCACTGCCCTTCTAGAAGCGACTATTTCTAAGTTTATGTATTCTCCCCAAAAGTTTATGCATATATCTATGTGTACTTATCTATGTATACATTATCTCTTTTTTGTACAAATGAGAATATATTCTATGTTATTCTGTATTACACTGTTTTTCACTTAACAGTATATTTTGAGTATGATTCCATAATGGAACTTTATTCTTCTTTACAGCCACATAGTGATAAATCTTACGCATATGTTACACAAAATAAATTTATTAAGTTTTTAATATTAATAAATCATTTATGATATTTGACAAATCAATTCAACTTGTTTTTTCAAAGAACACAAATGTCTCTTATCTCAAGGGGTATTCCCTAGAGTACCTAAGCAACCATACTCAGAATTTTTCAATTTTACATTTACATTTAACTCTGGTCTTTTACAAGTGTCATAAATAATGTATTTCTTTTCAGAGAAATAATAATTATGATGGAGCCTTTTACCTGTTGGGGGCTAAAGTTAAAAGACTGAGTCTGCTCAAAAATAGGCCAATCTAATAAGGAAGTGATACTATTGGCATCTACGGAGCGTGTAGTCTGTCAGGCTTTGCATTAAACATCTTCATATACATCTAATATTCATAAAAGTCTAAGGTAGCTATTATTTTGCCATATCAATGGGTAGAGAAATTGAATTAATTTAACTGAGTTAATGAATTTGCCTAAGATCAAACTGTTAATAAATAATAGACATAAAATTGAACCTAATACTGACTCCTAAGGAAATCTTTTTATTCAGAGATTACTGCGGTATACCAAGTACTTCTACAAAGGTGAAACTTTTGCTACCATTATTATTTGAAAAGAAGCAATAATAATCTAAAACAGATGTATCTATCTAAAGTGACAAAACAGCTATAACTACCTAAAATGATTGTGAATTTTGCTTATTCATGCCAATGTCTCAGTATTGTATTTTTAGCAGTTGCTTCCCAATGATTGCCCTAGAGAGAAGACAAAGAAAAAAAGTAATAGTATGGAACTCCAGTGTCCTTCAACTGAAAAACAAACCAACCAACCAAAACAAACAAACAAAACAAAACAAAAAACCCAAACCCTAAAAACCCTAAATTCAGAAATACTAAAATAATGTTGAAAACTTAAAACAGCTCTAAGAGATAAGGGAGAAGTTTGAGAACAGAGTGAGTGGCTAACAGTATGAAGACTATAAATTGTCATATAGACATAAACCCAAACAAGGGTATACTCCTCAGTTTTGAGTTTCTGTTTCTAGCTTTTTCTTGTAGCATGTGACTTCTAAATATGAATAAGTTCTATAGCCTCTCAAGGTTGTCTGTAGGTTCTATAGCCTCTCAAGATGATAAAAGACCTGTGAAGGGCTGTGAAGGCCATCTTTTCCAGTTTCTCACCTAAGACTTGAATACTCTGAATAAAATCCTACCAAATGATTGTTGAGTTTAGGATTAAATACTCTTAAAGTAACTAGTAGAAACTGCTGGAATAATGAAAACACATGAGAATTTAGAATCATAAAGCCAGAGTTAAAGTTCCACCTTTTTAGTTAACTAGCTTTGTAAATTTGTGCTAATCTCATAACCTCTTTGGACTTCAGTTTTCTCTATGAAATGAAAAATAGTAATACCTGTTCTAGCTATTGAGAATCAAATATCATGATTTAAGACGTTTTTATAAATACTTTTTCCTTAAACTGAGAACACTTTAACTGTGCCTTTCCTTTATAAGTCTCTATTATAGATGGAAAGCAGTGTCTTCCCTGACCACAATAACTAAATCAGTGCTCTCCCAAAAGTCATTTATTACAACATTACCTTTGATATTTCTTTTGATAGCTCACATTATTCTCTGAATTTATCTTATTTGTTTACTTCTTCATGGTTTGTATACATGCCTAGAATGTAAACTCCATGAGAGTAAGGACCTTGTCAATTTTATTTTCCATAAACCCTTTATTCTGAGAATACTTGATGGAACATATTGGAAGGAAGGAGGGGGTTACAGTTTAGGAATTTGAAAATCCTAAACTATCCTGAGATTCCCTGTCTTTTTGAGGTATATACTCTTAGGGACATATCTTTAAGTACATGTTAAATCACATTGAATTGAAATTAAATTTTTTAGTATAAGGAGTGTTGCTCTCATAGGGAGGCGAAAAATGTATCACAGCTCAGAAAGGCAGATTACTGTGTCCTTAGAACATCTCCTTGTACAGATGAAATCAGATCTAAACTAGAAGGTTATGGAAGAATAAGATAAATGTGAGAAAGAAATGACAGACTCTCTTCAAATAATCTACTATCACTGCCTCATGATTATTGAGAAATGTTTAACTCTATGCCTGTTCAACTTTTCATTTTCATATTCACTATAATCTTAAATACTAAGTCTGAGAAACATAACAATATTTATTTAAGGTGCTCTTTGTCACTTATTACTTTGGCTCATATTTTGGTCTTCTGAAATCATTTAAATAACATTTGTAAGGAGATAAAGGAAATGAAAGTTCAGTGTTTTATATAATATGAAATATGAAAACTTCCACTTTTTATCTTTTACTTGTAGAATTTCAAGAACCTTATGCTGTTGTAGTACTTCTGGAGAAAGATCTCATTGTAGTTGATCTGACACAAAGCAAGTAAGTTATTCATTTACAGATTAATACTGTTTTTATACTCTATTCATTACAATTAAAATATAGGAAAATCTTATAAATAACTGACAGTATATAATAAATGGTAAATATAGATGGTAAATAAAAATGTAACACATTTTTTTAAAAGATTTTATTTATTTATTTGATAGTGAGAAAGAGAGAGAGAGAGAGAACGCATGCACACGTAGAGGGAGCAGCAGGCAGAGGGAGAAGTAGGCTTCCCACTGAGCAGGGAGCCCAATGTGGGGCTCGATCCCAGGACCCTGAGATCATGACCTGAGCCGAAGGTGGACGCTTAACCGACTGAGCCACCCAGGCGCCCCAAAAATTGTAACACATTTTAAAGGCAACACCAGATGTTTAGAAAGATGCATTTGGAGACTCAAGACACATAAATTGGATCACGTGTCGCTGTTAACCTAAGCAAACACAATTGTTATGAAAATTTGTACAGTGTACTGTATGGCCATCTGCTAGACTATTGACCAAAGAAAAATGGCACATATTATTGGACTATTGCTGCAACAATATAGAAGAGCAGGGTCTGGAGGGTAGATAAGATGGAGGTCTTCTTTCACTTTCGTTTCCTTCTTGTTATGTTGAAAGTAATGGTAACAAATATAAAATACTGCTGTTAGAGTGGCTCTCTCAACTCCACTGCATGGACAGTAAAAGTAGATGAAATTGATGAACACTGTCTTCTTGCTATACATTTTCATTGTAAATGATAGGCATGAAACTGACTTTCCTTTACTTTTTTCCTTTTTTAATTAAAGTATATTTAAAAACAATGTTATATTAGTTTCAGGTGTACAACATATTGATTCAACAGTTCTATACATTACTCAGTGTTTACCACAATAAGTGTAATCACCATCTGTTGTTATAGTATTATTACAGTATTATTTATTATGTTCCCTATGCTATACTTTTCATCTCTGTGACTTACATATTTCATAGCTGAAAGTTTGTAGCTCTTAATCCCCTTTATTTCATCTATTAGCCCATTGTTTCCCCTTTGGCAATCACCAGCTTTTTCTCTGTATTTATGACTCTACTATTTTTATTTCTTTGCTTGTTTTGTTTGTTAGATTCCACATATGAGTGAAATTATATGGTATTTTTATCTGTCTGACTTCTTTCATTTAGGATAATATCTTCCAGTGCCATCCATTTTGTCACAAATGTCAATATCTCATTAGTTTTTATGGCTAAGTAATATTTGGTAGATAGATCGATAGATCAACAGATAGACATAGATTGCTTTTATATCTTGGCTAGTGGAAATAATGCCACAATAAACATAGGGTGCATACATCTTTTTTAATTAGTGTTTTTGTTTTCTTTGGGTAAATACCCATAGTATGACTACTGGATCTTATGGTATTTCTATTTTTAATTCTTTGAAAAACCTCCATACTGTTTTCCATGGTGGCTATACCAATTTACATTCCACCAACAGTTCACTAGGGTTTCTTTTCCTCCACATCTTTGGCAACACTTGTTATTTCTTTTCTTTTTTATTCTAGTCATTCTGACAAGTGTAAGGTGACATCTTATTGTAGTTTTGATTTGCATTTCCTAATGATTTGTGATGTTGGATATCTTATCATTGTCTATTAGCTATTTGTAGGTCTTCTTTGGAAAAAGGTCTATTCAAGTCCTCTGCCCTTTTTTAATTTTATTTTTTCATTTTTCCAGGATTCATTGTTTATGCACCACACTCAGTGCTTCATGCAATATGTGCCCTCTTTAACACCCACAACCAAGCTCACCTATCCCCCCCCCACCTCCAAAAACCTCGGTTTATTTCTTAGAGTCCACAGTCTCTCATGCTTTATCTCCCCCTCCTGATATCCCCCAATTCACTTTTCCTTTCCTTCTCCTAATGTCCTCCATGTTACTCCTTATGCTCCACAAGTAAGTGAAACCATATGATACTTGACTCTCTCTACTTAACTTATTTCACTCAGCATAATCTCCTCCAGTCCTGTCCGTGTTGATACAAAAGTTAGGTATTCATCCTTTCTAATGGAGGTGTAATATTCCATTGTATAAATGGGCCATATCTTCTTTATCCATCCGTCTGTTGAAGGGCATCTTGGCTCTTTCCACAGTTTGGTGATTGTGGCCATTGCTGCTATGAACATTGGGGTACAGATGGCCCTTCTTTTCACTACATCTGTATATTTGGGGTAAATACCCAGTAGTGCAATTGCAGGGTCATAGGGTAGCTCTATTTTTAATTTCCTAAGGAATCTCCACACTGTTTTCCAAAGCGGCTGCGCGAGCTTGCATTCCCGTTAACAATGTAAGAGGGTTCCCCTTTCTCCACATCCTCTCCAACACGTGTTGTTTACTGTCTTTTTAATTTTGGCCATTCTAACTGGTGTAAGGTGGTATCTCACTGTGATCTTTATTTGAATCTCCCTGATGGCCAATGACGATGAACATTTTTTTCATGTGTCTGTTAGCTATTTGTATGTCTTCTTTGGAGAAGTGTCTGCTTTTAATCAGATTATTTATAGGGGTTTTTGGTGTTGATTTGTGTAAGTTTTTTATATATTTTGGATATTAACCTTTTATCAGAGATATCATTTGCAAATATCTTCTCCCATTCAGTAAGTTACCTTGTCATTTTGTTGATTGTTTCCTTCATTGTCATAAAAGCTTTTAATTTTTTATAGTCCCAATAGTTTATTTTTGCTTTTGCTTCCTTCGCTGGAGGAGATAGATAGAAAATTGTTTCTACAGCAGGTGTCAAAGAAATTACTGCCTATGTTTTCTTTCAAAGGTTTTATGGTTCCAGGTTTTGCGTTTAGGTCTTTAATTCGAGTTTATTTGTGTACATGGCATAAAAAGTAGTCTAATTTCACTCTTTTACATGTAGTTGTCCAGTTTTCATAGCACCATATTTGAAGAGACTGTTTTTTCCCCATTGTGTCTTCTTGCCTCCTTTGTTGTAGATTAATTGACCATATAAACGTGGGTTTATTTCTGGACATTCTATTCTGTTCTGTTGGACTATGTTATGTGTCTGAGTTTTTTTGGATTTTTGTTTTGTTTTATTTTGTTTTTGCCAGTACTATGTTGTTCTGATTATTACAGTTTTGTAGTACATCTTGAAATCTGGAATTGTTGAGATACCTCCAGTTTTGTTCTTCTTTCTCAAGATTACTTTGGTGGGGGGCACCTGGGTAGCACAGTCAGTTAAGCATCTGACCCTTGGTGTCAGCCCAGGTTGTGATCTCAGGCTTGGGGGATTGAGCCCTGCATGGGGCTCCATTCTCAGTGCAGAGTCTGCTTGAGATTCTCTCAATCCCTCTGCCCCTCCCCACCAGTCTCTCTCCAATATAATAAATAAATCTTTTAAAAAGGATTGTTTTGGCTATTTGAGGTCTTTTGTGGTTCCATACAGATTTTAGGATTCTTCTAGTTTTATGAAAAATGCTGATGGTATTTTGATAGAGACTGAGTTAAATGTGGAGATTGCTTTGGGTAGTATGTACATTTTAATAATATTCTTTCAACCTATGAGCATGGAATATCTTTCCATTTGTTTGTGTCCTCTTTCTTTCATCATGTATTATAGTTTTCAGAGTACAAGTCTTTCATTACCTTGGTTCAGTGTATTGGTTCAGTGTATTCCAAGGTATTTTATTCTTTTTGGTGAAATTGTAAGTGGGATTATTTTTAAATTTGTCTTTCTGTTTCTTCATTATTGGTGTACAGATATGCAACAGATTTTTGTGTATTAATTATTTATCCCACAACTTTATTGAATTCATTTACCCATTCTAGTAGTTTTTTGATGGTCTTTAGGGTTTTCTATATATAGTCTCATGGCATCTGCAAATAATGACAGTTTTACTTCTCCCTTACCAGTTTGGATGTGTTTTGTTTTTCTTGTCTGAATGCTGCAGCTAGGATTTCCAGTACTATGTTGAATAAAAGTGGCAGGAGTGGACACCCTTCTCTTCAGATCTCAGATTTTCACCATTAAGTATGATGTTAGCTGTGGGTTTTTTATTTATGACCTTTATTATGTTGAGGTATATTCCCTCTAAACTCACTTTGTTGAGAGTTTTTATGAGGAATGGATGTTGTATTTTGTCAAATGTTTTTCTGAATATACTGAGATAGTCATATGGTTTTTATCCTCTTTCTTATTAATGTCATATATCTCATTGATGGATTTGCATATAACAACCATCCTTGTATCCCTGGAATAAATTTCACTTGATCATGTGAGTCATGCTTTTAATATATTGTTGAATGTAGTTTGCCAATATTTTGTTTGAGGATTCTGGCATCTATGTTCATCAGAGATATTGACCCATACATTTTTTTGTAGTTCTTTGTCTACTTTTGGTATCACGGTAATGCTGGCCTCATAGAATGAATCTGGAATTTTCATTACTCTTCTATTTTTTAGAATCATTTAAGAAAAGGGTTAACTCTTCTTTAAATGTTTGGTAGAAATTGTCTGTGAAGCTGTATAGTGTAGTTTTGTTTATTGGGAGTTTTTGATTACTGAATCAATTCCATTACTAGTAACAGTTCTGTTCATATTTTCTATTTTCCTAAATCAGTTGTGGAGGATTATGTTTCTAGAAATTTATCCATTTTTTTCTAGGTTGTCCAATTTGTTGGCATATAATTTTTCATAATATTCTCATAATCTTTTGTATTTCTGTGGTGTTAATTATTTTTTCTTCATTTCTGATTTTGTTTGTGTCCTCCCTCTTTTTTCCTTGATTAGTCCGGCTAAAAGATTATCAGTTTTTTAAATCATTTTAAAGAACCCGTTCTGGGGCACCTGGATGGCTCAGTTGGTTAAGCACCTGCCTTTGGCTCAGGTCATGATCCTAGTATCCTAGGTTTGAGCCCCAAAACAGGCTCCCTTCTCAGGAGGGAATCTGCTCTACCTTTCCCTCTGCCACTCCTCCTGCTTATGCTCTCTCACTCTATGTCAAATAAAT